TTTCTTTTGTGTTTGTTTCTTCTTTATAGTTTTCATTGATTGCTTTTTGTTTCTACATTTTCTGACTACACTTATTCCCTATTGCTGCAAACTGGATTGCTTTATTTCCTACTTAATTATAAATTTCCATCATATCAGTAGTTTGCATGGAAACACATTGAAGCCCATTGACTCGATATTACCCTATCCATCACTTCTCTTCAGTATCTATAGACAACCACATCTGTCGACCTGTCATAGACTCTCTCTCGTCCATTATTGACTCATTCACTTTCTTTATTTCTACAAGCCTCTCCATCAGATGGATTAGAGGAGAGAGGAGAGGAGAAACAATTTCATTCAAAGAGCTAGAAATAAAAATGCCTAAAGTAGGAAGAGAAAATGTGTGAGCTAGGGAGAAGAGAAATAAAAGGAATCGACCTTTAGATAGAGAATGATAGCGGGTAGGAGCTATGGGAGAAAGAGACAAGGAGAAAGCGACATTAGAGGGGGAATGGCGTTGAGAGGTTTACGAGAGAAAGGGAGAATAACGGTGCAGTGAGATAGACAGAGAGAGAAGTGAGGGTTGCATAATGTCGAGAGATATGGGTAGAGCTCGAAGGCAGATGGAGAGAGAAGTAAACGTAAGATGGTAGGTGGAGATAGTGTGACAGAATGCACGAGATTAGAGTAATTAATAACTTTATTTCTTGAAGCATGTGTTTAGGGAAATCAAATGGTAACTGGCATTTACAAGACGGAACTCTATATATGGAAATCAAATGGTAGCCAATCTTAGCATAAGGGGTGAGAAATCATAGGATATTTGGGTAATTGGCATCTACAAGATATTATTTCCCTATAAAATGACAATTTTATTGAGATCAAAGTCATCTAATAGCTTTGCATGTAGCTTCATGTGAACATAAATAGTAACAAAGGTATAGTTCAAACATTGTTGAGAACTACAAAAGGATCATTACATGTGAGTGCTGATTGTAAAACACAAGAATTAGTGGCAAAACCTTCCCATCCGACAATAATATATTAAAATTGAAGGCTAAATGAGTAAATACTCAAAGAATTTTGTGATGTAAAGCCCTTTTTATTCCCTAAAGATTAGTCCTAATAGTTGGCAGGATATGAGTGTCATCAATGGCTCGATGCAATCATATTATTGAGAAGCAATAAAAATAATACTGGATACTAGAGTAATCAATTACAAAAGCAATAAGTATGACCAACATGCATTACCTTAGAATAAGGGAAAAACAAATCCCCCTCTTACGAGTGATTTCTAATGGTGTGTTTGGTTCTGATCGTTTCAAGAATTCTTTGGGAAGTCTTATAATTGCATTCAATATTCACTTAAAGAGTCAAGAAGCAGTTTTTTCCGAGTTACCAAACTCATGACCAATCTTTGGATTATTCAAATTGTGGCTTAAAGTGTGCAAGAACATCACAAGTTCATCCACTGAAACTCTCATTATTTCATTGTTGTTCTCTCTCCAAAAGGATATTCTTTAAGATAGAGTAAGCTATTCTACTCATATGAATATGGTTTCGACAACCTATCTTGGTGGAGCTAATTATGGTTTTATGATACTTTGTACCGATTGGAGTACACTTTGTTGTAGTTGATCTACCCACATAAGTCACTAGAGCAGTACCTACCACATCTACAATATTATCAATTGTTGCAATTGTTGCGACTAATTTCAACTTTTCTTCATGCTTGATATTTTGATTGTTATTCGTCATGATAAAAGATTGATCACTATAGAAGAACCTAAAGAAAGTACCAATAGTAACTACTTTCATTAATGGGAGTTCCCTACATCCATTGAACTAATTTACACCAAATGTGTTAATTCATACAAAATACAATGTAGGAAAACAAGCATGAAATCAGGCAACAAAAACACAACAACATTTCTTGCCAAATATAAAGAAAAAAAACTTAAATATAAAACATAATAATAATAAGAAAAAAACAAAAAAACAAAGAACCATCTTTATCATGTAAGCAATATTGTAAAACACTATTGGACAACAAGTTTAACTATCTCTAAAGCTTTCGAATTACTCAAAAATGTTTCAATTGAGAGTTGCAATATGAAACTCAACAACTAACCACTGTTTAGGTTTACATGAATACTGATTGGAAACATAAGATGAATAATAGAAATTTGATAATGTAAAAAAATATACGAGCTCAACAAGCCTTCAAATATGGTAAACATGCTTCAAAAGATGAAAAAGTATAATTAAAAAATACAAACGATTGGTCACCTACGAGGAAGATCAATAGATATACATACAAGTTAGGTTCATAGGAAGCAGTAAACCAATAAAAAGAGAAGAAAGGAAAAAAAGTAGAGTTCTCTAACATTTTGAGAAGCTAGGGGTAACTGGGGTATTTTATCCACCTAGTTAGGTTCAGGGATATTTTTATCATTTTGCACTTAAATGCATTGTCTATATAAAATTATAAAAAAGGATCTGGTTTCTATGCTGCATATGTAGAAATGAATGCCTATTAATAAATCTATTTTTGAGATGGAATTTTGGGCATGTAAGCTCTAACATGGAGATCATGAATATGAAAAAATGAGTAATAAGAAAACATTTGGACCGTTAGTTTCTATTGTTTTTAGATGAAACACCTACTTGCATCCATCTTTAAGATTGATGCTTTACACTTTTTGGACCGCATATGTAGTCATGCAGTCCAACCCTCATGAAACAACTTTCCTTATAAAAGTACCCCTAGTTACTCTGTATTACTAATATTGAACGAATGTTTCTTATTTGTAATGTGAAATTAGGGGTATTTTCATTACTTAGTTGATAACTCTTTAAGGTCAAATTACTAAAATGCACCTAATTGTTATTTATTCTGAATATTAGACAAGAGCAATTTGGATATTCTTAAAATTTTATGGAAGACGTATCCAACTGAAATAAAAGAGAAAAAATATAACCTCACATGATAATAAGGATGATTTGAATAAATTTTTAAGAGAAGGATAATTTGAATAAAATCTTGAGGGATTTCATCCCCTTTAATATTTAGGTCGAATGATAAGAAGGGATGAAATTCAAAATGAAATATTAGGGAGAATTTAAGTGTGTAAGATGAGATAAAATCGACTTAAGTGAGCTGGACATATATATAACGCAAGTCGAAGGCTCCAATAAAAAAAGGATAAGCTCAAGAGGATATGGGTTGCAAGTAGTGAGAAAAGATATCAAGGTTTATGGTCTCACTGAGAGTACAACTCTCGATAGAGCATAATAGCATACCAGAATTTGTATAGCCAGCCACAATTAGTTGAAAAAAGGTTTTGGCAATGATGATGATGCCCTTTAATGATATTTATTCGTTTTATTTTAAAAATGATTAATCCGTCAAGACATCGACCTGCTCCAAAAGCATGCTTCTCTCTCCATCTTATTCTTATGGATTTGGTTTTTATGTTGCCAAACTCACTTATGTAGAAATACGGGCCACTTAATAAATCTATTTTTGAGATGGATTTTAAGATTTAATTTTTAAAGACTTGTAATCTCAAACATGGAGATTATGAATATGAAAAAATAAATAAATTTTAAAAATTAAAAATAATAATTCTAGTAAGAAAACATTTGAACTGTAGTTTCCATTGTTTTTAGATGGAACACCTACTTTCATCTATCTTTAAGAGGACACGATTTTTATGCGGCCAGCGCGCATATTGTAGAAATGCAGGCTTGCCAATAAATATATCTTTTAAATATAATTTGATCCTAATTTTTAGAGAATATATAATCTTTAATATAGAGATCATGATTACGGATTTTTTTTTTTGAAAACTACAAATAATAATTATATCAAGAAAACATTTGGACCATTAGTTACACTTGTTTTTAGATAGACCACCTATATGCATCCATCTCTAAGATGGATGCTTTATAACTAGAGCAATGATCCTATAGGATTCTCCCCCACTCATGTGTATAGGATTTTAAAATATTACCATTAAAGTTGGCATGAATATCTAAAAACATTATTACATAAGTGTGAGATTTGACTTTTCTATAGATCCATGTCAAATTTAATAGTGATTTTTTGGAATCCCACATACATAAGTGGAAAAAATTTCTATAGAATTATTTCTCTTATAACTATATTATAGAAATGGGGTCCCACCTGAATGAAACAATTTTTTTTAAGAAGAATAACCGCATATGTAGAAATACGTTCCAGCCCGCATGAAAGAATTTTCGTGTTCTTCTAGCCATTATCGACAAGAAACGTAAATGGGTCCCACCGTTTTCTTCATCAGAGCTCACGCGCGTGAAGATCATAGGCTTAATTATAGGGATAACAACATCCCCAACTTATCTTTTAAAGACAATCTCATCCCTCTCCTGAAAAAGACGAAATTGCCCACACAGACGGTGTATACTACCTGGGAATATTAGTAACATATCCTCCTCCTATAGTAGTAATATTATTATTATATTTTAAAATTTGAAATTTTACCCAAAATTTTATTATTATGAAATACCTGTGGAAATTTTATAATTTAAAAATCTTACAGATATTACAGGGGTGCAAAAACAGAAAGATTTTTGGTTTTTCAAAATTGAATATTCTGACAATTTCAAATTTTTAGAACAGATGAAAATTAAATATTTAAAAAATATAACACTTTCAAAATCCTAATTTATAGAATCCTTGGATTTTGAAAATCCAAAACATCCACGTTAAATTTGTAAAATTACAAATCTTTGTGTGAGCGAATCGAATTTAGTCGTGATGATGATGACATAGACGTAGCTCTGTGTAGTGCGAGTCTCAAGGGATTATTTATACGGCTTCACAACAGGGACTTGAGAATCAATATTGTAAAATAAATAGGGGCAATTTCGTCATCCACGAAACTGGACCCCTGTGCCGCGAAAGAAGCGGTTGTTGCTTTCTCTTTCTCCCTCTTTTAGAGAGAGACATTCTCTCGCAAGAAAAATGCCGCTTTATCGAGTATATATTCTCTCTCTTTGGGATGGAGACCGATATCTCCAAGGCAGCGATTGAAGAGAGAGAAAGAAAGAACACACAGATGGCAGTGATGGAAATATAAAGGGTGGATACGGAAAGCATTTGGCAAATGGAAATACAAAGTGTAGAGAGAGAAAGTTCGTGGTAAAACACGCAGATGCCAGAGAGAGAGAATTGATGGAAGCGAATCAAGGAATTACTGAGAGAGAAGGTATAGGGTACAGGGAAATACAGGTTCAAGAACGCAGATTTCTCACATACAGGCGATTGTGTTTTCTCTCTCTAGATTGTAAAAGGTTAGAGAGAGAAAGTTGGTAGAAGAAACACATTGATGCCAGAGAGAGAGAGAGAAACTGTTGGAAGTGAAAAGAGTTAATTTAAGAGGGAAGGAAGAATCATAGAGAACAGGGAAATATTGACGTTTCTTCCTCTTTCTCTCTCTACATGTATTTTAATGGAATACACGCCATTAATTGGTAGATCCTGGTTTGAGAGGTCTGAATCTGATGGATTGGCTTGGAGTGGTATGGAGGGCAAGAAGGAAGTTTAGAGAGAGAAAGAAAGAGGACCGGTCTCAGTCCTGCTGGCCCCGGATACGTACGCAGCCAGCCTGCCGACTTAGCCGGCCTCTTTCATGTTCCCCTGCTGTAAGATTAAAGTAAAAGGTAAGAGAGAGAAAGAACGAGTCCTAGAGAGAGAAAGTGAGTTCTAAAGAGAGGGAGTCCTAGAGAGAGAGAGAGAGATTGCTTTCCTGCAACCTGTTGTGTAGGGTTGGATGGTTTATTTCTCTCTCCTGCGTTGGAAATGCCAACGCGGTTGGTTAGAGAGAGAAAGACAGGCATGGAATTGTAGAGAGAGAGAGTTGGGTCACCAGGTCAGGTGAGGTCAGTCAGCACCAGATTAAGCCATGCGTTGCCGCCTCTCTCTCTATCTCTTCTCTCTCTCTCTCTCTCTATCTATCGACCCCGTCTCTTACTCGTTTGCAATCTATCATTATCTCTCTCTCATGGCCAAAGACGATTCTCTCTCCCCTCCTCGTCCACGTCTCCAACCACTGCCCTCCTTTTCCTACTCATCCTTTCTCTCTCTACCTCTGTCTCTCTCTCTCTCCTTTATTATTACTATCATCTCTGCAACTCCGTGCCTCCTCGCGTCTCATACCTTCCCGTTTAGACCTGGACTTCTTTCTCTCTCTAGAAACAAGGAAGCATCCATGCCACCTATTACTATACCAAATCGCTCTCTTTTTATTGCAAGGAACTTTTGGACTCTTTCTTTATTTTCTTGAGATAGCAACCATTACTGTATATTCTCTGAAACTGCTCTGAGAGGAAAAGCACGACTTCTTCCTATCTATTTTTCTCTTATTGCGTCCTTTAAAATCCTGGTTTCCTTCCTATTTCATTTATCGGCAAGGGCGTCCATGTTCTGGTTCTCTCTGGTTGCTCTCAAAGGAACGGCTGGATCTTGCGAGGTCGACTTTGGATCTAGATTTTTGTTGTTCCGTTCTTGAGGAGAAAGCTTTTCTTGATCTAGGGTTTCTGTTCTTAATTTTGAAGGGAAAGCTTGGGATCTAGGGTTTTTGTTTACTTTCAGAGGGACGGTTCTCGATCTTGTCTGTGTTTTCCTGATTTTGAAGGGGAGGCTTCTGGATCTACGGTTTCTTCCTCTGGTGTTCAAGGGAAATCATCTGGATTTAGGGTTTTCTAATCCTTTTTGGAGAGGGAAAGCTTTTGCATCTGTTACAGGAGACTGCAGATGTCATCTCAAGTATTTGCAAAGAACCTGAAGATGCCTGTTTCTGATCAGCGCTTGACGGTGTTGATGCCATGATTCTCCAGATCCAAGCCTCCATTACAGTTTCAGGGCAGATACCTTAGGGTTGGATTGATCGGTTAGGGTTGCAAAGATAAGGCCGTACATATTGAAGGATAAATTGTTTATCCCTGAAGTTGCAGAAATAATACCTTCAGTTTTGCAAGTTTCTTCGAGATCCACGACATCTTTGCGTTTTCATTGCAAAGCTCGCACCTCTTTGGTGCATACGAGATTTCCAGGGTTTTTCCTGCGATTGAAGGCTTTTTTATTTTCTCAACAACCTCATATCAAAGATTTTGCAGTTTGTCAAATAGTACCAGAGTCAATGAGGATTTTCCAGAACCCGAGCCCCTTTTCGAAGGGTGAAGTTTCAGGTTCTAAGCCCCGATACCATTCAGTTGCTACAGCAAACCCTGCAACTGCAGGTCCATCCATGGATTTGGAGGAGACTTATTATAGGAAGCTTGCAACTTTACAACCAGAGTTTCTCCAGCTTGTTAGGGTGAGTTTTTGAATTCTTCTTCTTCATATTCATTACCAAAAGTAACATTATATTTCCCTGAAAGTAAACTTTCTGAACTTCTCTTCTTCGTTTACATGGCCTAAAGCAAGAAGATCCTTCTCTGAAAGCTTTATTTGTTGCAGGAGACTAAAACTTTGAAGCAGCGGCTAAGAAGAACCAGGGGAAAGAGAGAGAAACTTAACGCTGAAGTCCGGTGTGTCCATGGTTAAAACTATGTGTGTGTGTGAGAGAGAGAGAGAGAGAGAGAGAGAGAGAGAGAAAGATACATATATATATGACAGGTTTTATCAATGTATTCATGGCTTTTCTTTCTATATAATTTTCAGGTTCTTGAGGCGTAGGCTGAAGCTGTTGAAGAAGAACTCAGCCTTATCAGAGAAATCATGTGCTATTATGCCGGTTGAGACGACTCCGGAGATGTGGCCCTTTGAAGAAGAAATCGTAGAACCTGAAGAAACCCTAGATATGAAAAAGCAGAAGTCTGGGTTTCCGTTGCCATGGGGCAATGGAGGAGGTGGAGGAGAAGCAGAACCAAGAAAGAGCACCATCACCATTGTTTCCCCTGCTACTGCAACTACAAAACTAACAATACAAGTCCCTGCAAGTACAACTATAAAACCTACAACAGAGGGTGGTGGTCCAGTGAGTGCACTGAAATCCTCAACCTTTAAGGGCGACAACTCCATGGCTTCTTCAAGAACAGGCAAGAGAAGGATAACATGGCAAGATGAGATCTCTCTTGGAGCTTGAACAGCCATTGGTACCCTACCATTTAACCATTCTTTATTATTCGCCTGTGGCTTTTTTTGTTTCCTCTTGATGAGGTAATTCACACTGCTATAATCATAGGCCAGAAATATTGGAAGGTTGCTTTTGAATCCCTTTTGTCCCTTCTTTTGCAGTAAAATTTTTGAAACCCCTGTAAATGATCTGGGTTTTGAGTTTTTAATCTGCTGTAAAAATGGAAATCCTATGGACATATTCAGATTAGTATTTTTGTTCAGTTTTTCTTTTTTTAATGGAATTTATACCATTTGGGGGTGCTTGAAGTCCCGGTATATGTTTGTTCTTTCTGATTTCTTTGTTTTTTGGTTTTCTTGCATTTTTCGATTGCTTTGTGATATCGGCTTTAGACTTTAGACTTTAGACGACTGGTTTACAGATTCCCATCCTCCTCTTTGTGCTTTCTTCTCTCTGTGAGCTATTGCTTTGATTTAAGTTTCCCGTTTTGCATAACTCCCTTGAATTTAATTTTTGGATATCAGAAGAATTGAGTTCTATCTCAAAGAATGTAAAAACACCATTGTAATTTTTTAGTGATGTTGTTATACAGTTCTATTCAGTTTTTTAATTAGAAATAACATGAATCAAATTCAGTTAACCATCAAAATCAGGTATATTTGATAATCTAGTTTGTTTCGAGTTTTATTCTCTTAATAAAAACCTATTGAATGTCAATGAAAATTCAGTTACATTTGTTTTTTCAGCCACATATAGTGGATAATCTAAGTTTTTTCAGTTTTATTCTCTTATGAAAAGCAGCTCACTCACCCAAAAGCAAAAAAGATGACAGCTTCTAAAGAAATAAAATAAAATGAAAAGCAGCTCACTCACTCAAAAGCAAAAAGACATAACATACTTCTTCTTCATTATCCAATCTTGCTACGTAATAAAACTCAGTTTAAAAATGTCAGAATAATATATTGGAAGTTGTCTTTTACCAGTTATTTTTCTTTTCCCTCGGTTTTGGTTTATGTCTAGAGCCTAGAAATGAGTCTCTCTTGTGAAATAATCAGCTTGCTTTACCGAACACAATATGGAGACAGAAACCCAGAATTGGATCTCTGTCACTCACTCTTGTTTGGTCATGTGATTTTTATATAAGCATATTTTTCCAAAAATTTATTGTCCACATTGACCCGCCGTATCGTATCTAAACTAGAGCACGAAGTTTTGAACACCCGCTTATTCACTCTCTGTTCTCAAAACCCCAAAAATGAGAAATTTTTTAGTTATTGTATTTGTGTGCCGAAGAATTGCTGAATGCCTTAACCCAGGCAAGGGATTTTATTTCTCACAGTGCCATATTATACTTCATATATCATTGGAGTTTTCATTTGATTTACCAGTCAATAAAGTGCGCTTCTGGTCGAGTACCTTCTTTATAACAGGTCTCCAAGCTATTCAAGAGGGCAAATATTTGATGCTCTCATACCTGTCTGTGGCCCTGGCTGTATTTGAAGGGGATTTAAGTTTTTCATGGGACTTGAAGGCATTTTACCCTTCTTTCTCTCTGTGTTTGTGTCCCTAATGCCGAACGAATACAAATTGGGAACCTCCTTGTTCTGGTATGAGCTTCTTGATTCATGTATGGATTTGAACACGCACACTCTCTCTCTCCATGGATTTGAATACTTAATATTTCCAACTCGAATTGTAATGGTGGCTGAGTTTGGCAAAGTTAGGAGGACAGCTTGCTATTTGCCTTACACCCTCCTTGGAATGTCTGAGTTTTTCATTTGCCAAGATGAAAACGTCTCAGTGGCGAAATTTCAAGAGAGGATCAATGTCACTGTTGATGTAGTGGGAATGGGATTACCGAAGCCTCTAATCAAAACCCCCATGGATCTTAGCCACCATAGCTTGTATTCAACCCCACCGGAATTTGCAGCTGATACGAGGCTCACCTTTCACAAACCCAGAACATAATGGCTGACCAGCTTCTAGGGCTTTTTGAGGGGTTGTTGAACCCTGCTTTCATTGAGAATGTCTAGGGCTCACGGGAAAAAAGAATAAAGTTTTTTCGAAGGCTTTGTAAGATTAGCCGAAAATGCAGGACGGCGTTAAAACGCTAGGTCGCATGGTAATGCAGGTTCTCTTCCAATCACTGGGAACTCGCCATAGATTTGTTTTTTGGATATCACAAGTAGTTGTAGGGTTTTCTGCTGAAAATTCATTCTTAGTTGCCATGGGTTTATATTGTAGCACGAGCTGCTTCTAAAATCTTATTGAATTGCATATAAGAAAATAATCTTTATTGTATTCCTTATAGGAAACGAGTCATTTGTGCTTTAGCCCCCTCATCCCTCTCTCTCGAACACTTTGCTGGTAGTGTCAAAATTGTTGATATTGAAGCACATGGCATGGATTTGGTTAGCATTGATGATTTTACTTTGTTTTTGCATTAGAGGGGGGGTGTCGTTTGATGATCTTGGTCTGCGTGGGGAATAGGGATGAAAGCCTCCTTCGCCTTGCATAACACTTAGTAAATTGGGAAAATTACAAAAAAAAAAAACATCCAAAAGAAGATTTTTTTGACCACCTACCCTAAACAAAATGTGTTCCAGCAACTTTTATCCCAAATTAAGCTTTTGTAGCAAATATCCCTAGTAAAAAAAGTCATATTGTTTATGAAAATACGCTTTATGCCGGACTGCCCTATTTTCTGTAAGATTGCCCCATTTTGTCGGACCGCATGCTTAAAGTGCCGGATCGCACTTGTTTTATGTCGGACTGCATGCTTTCCAGAAACATAATGCTACACCACCCTTATTTTATGTTGGACCACATGTTTTCTAGAGGGGAGTTTGGTCTTTATTTTATTTTTTTATGACTTGGGGGGTATTTATTAGAAAAATTCATTTTGACGCAAAAAGTGAAAAAAAAATTGTTTCGAGCTAAGTTGCATATAAAGTATAGTTTGGAGGTTATTTGTAAGTTTAAGTTTGTAATAATAAGGATCATGGGGGACGCTGCAAGTCTCGCATTGGATGCATGAGGAGGTTCTTAATCACACTGCTCATTTGCTCATTTTAGAGCTTAGTGTTACAACAAAGACTTAAGGACAAGTATTAGCATCAAATAGACATGAAAGCTTTAGAAACTCTAAAGTGACTTTTTAGATAACTTTTCTTCACATCATTTAGGTAAGGGTTTGTATAAGACAAGACCATTTGCTTTTCGTGGGAAGTCACTATTATTTTTAGCCTTTGGATGTGAAATCCGAAGTGTAACATCACATTCGAAAAATTTTGTTTTGAAAATTGTGGCCAACTAATAGCACATCCTTAACCACCTAATTTTAGGTCCAACAGTCAATAATGGTTGTGATCTCTTTGTATGAAAAATAAATTATCTCATTATATATATTTAATAATGGTTGTGACTTCTTTGTATGAAAAATAAATAGTTTTATATAAAGGTGCGGTACATGAGGTTGTAACTTAAACAATCAAAGTATGGTGCACCTCCAAATTGTCATAAAATACAATTTTGGTGTCGAATCCTTAGGATGGTGTGAGAATATGTCTTTGAAAAAAAATTTCCTAAACTACTAGCTATAATGAATAGTATAAGCTATTAGCTCCTAATGGTCAGATCTTCTTTGGATAGTTCAAAATTCATATCACTATCTGAATTTTCATCTTTTTTCTAGAAAACAAATCGTAATGAAAATTTGGATGTGTGTATTAAAAAATAGGGCACGCAATAAACAAATATATAAAAAATATTTTCTAAAATATAAAATGACTAACATACCCCTAAAAAATGACAAGGGTCATTCGATCATTTTAAATAATTGAAAGTAATTGTTTTATATTTTCATATGATGCACAATAGTGTTTAGTATATACACCAAAAATTTCATCTTAATATAATTTATAGAAAAATATTTAAAATAAAATAAATATGAATTTTTAACCACCCGATGAAGATCTAACGACTGAGAGCTAGTAACTTATACTATTCATTATAGCTAATAACTTTATAGTTAGTAACTTGAAAAATCTTTTTCCCATGTCTTTATAGTTTTTAAACTTAAAAAATAGTGCAACTCAAGCAAATCCATAAATGCATGAAATCTTGAAATTGGACTGTCTAAATAATGAGTTGTAAAATATACTATTTCAAAGAATTGAAATCTCATTTTTTCTCCATATCTATACATCTCGATGTCGAAATGATCCGTCCGATATTTTTATGACATCAAAACAACCTATTTCAAATGATTTTAGACATGCACCTTAATTCTATATTTAAAGTGTTAACCTTATATAAACTTTTTATTCATATAAATGGAAATGTGGGTATTGATCAACAATTTATTATTTTCATAGTGAAATCAAGGAAAAAGGTTCATAGAGTATCTTAGTTCAAAAGCGTATCCTCGGTGCTTTGACAAGCATCGCAGACGCGTGTCCATGTTATACAATTCAAATCTTATCGCAGGCTATGCATTCAAAAGAAAGAATAAAAAAACTTTGAAAAATAAGCCTTTGCGTAAAAGGAAAGGTTTCTATTCTTCCCCTATTCCCCTACAAGATATATACTTTCCCCCATCCAACCTATCAATTTAGATCAAGTGAACCTTGACCATTTAATCTTGACCATTTAATCTAAAAGATCTGATGCCTCAGAGTATTTTATTTTTAAATTTTTTTTATTTACAAATTATATGAGTACGGAATTTGATACGTGCCATCTTCTCAATAGAACACACCTAAAAACAATATTAAAAAGGATTTTTCGATAAAGCATAATAACCAAAATACCTAATGAAACTTTCAGAAGAATTCTGATCATTTTATTTTATTGAGAATATTTTTTTTATATAATTTTTTACAAGTGCGAGTTTAAGAGAGGATTGGACACCCAAAATTTGGTGTTAAAATATTTTGTAGAAAAATAATTTGAAATAAAATAGTATAGAGATATGACATTGTGATTGAATCCATTTCAACCATTCATTCAAAATTTGGATGGTTGGATGGAGAGAAGCATATAAGTTTTATGCAGTAGGGCATAGACAGCATGCCCTTGTGTAAATGTTTTGTTCTAGTTTCAACCTTTTCTTTTGATGGGCTTTCCATGTCTCTCCATCCATTATATATCTCTTGGAACGGTTGAGAGTTAGCTAACCATAAGTCACACATTAATCAATATATGATTATTCACATATTAATTAATATTGAAAAATTAAATTGGCTCATTAATTATTCATCATCTAAACCTTTTCCAAACTATTTGAGATCGGCTAGCTACATTTTATTCAGCTATTGTGCTACATCAAGGTCCATATCTTCAATTAAATATTATTGTACTAGAATATAACATTATTGTAAGCTTACTTTTAAACATTTAATTAAAGCTTCATAAAAAATACAGTACTATATAGTAGTTCTGTTCTTCGATGGGTTAACTCCTCATATGGGTAAAATTAGTGCAATGCTAAAATAATTTGTATCATATCTTATATGCCATTCATTAAACTCCCAAACGTGGAGTGAACTCTAGGCTCAAAGTCCAATTCTTAATAACATACCCTGCTGAATCCATCTGCTCTTGGCATTCTCCCTTGCCAATAATACCATATTTTTATGAGCATTTCATGAAGAAAGCAGGAGAGGGAGGACGGATGATTATTAGGATGATTGATGAATTTTTTTTTTTTCCAATTTTTACAATAATATAACAGTCTTTCCATTCTTTTTTTTTTTGGTAATGGCACAATCTACTTTGTGCCATAGAGAGCTTGCATTATTACAATGAAAGAGAGATTTCTTTCTTCACCTTTGAAAGGATGGTCTAAAGCCATCAAATTGATCATCGTCAAGAGTAACAAGGTTGGGTATTTGGCCATTGTCCGTAAAGTCCAGTTTGTTCAGCCTCACACAGCTAAGCACCTGTTCCGGAAGTTCTTCTGGCTTCTGGGCCTGATGATCCCACAAACGATACCACTTAGTTTAAATAAACAAGAGAGAGAGAGAGAGAGAGGGATTTGCCCTGGCCTTGAGCAATACCTGAATAGTTAAACCCAGGTCAAGTATGCCATATTTTAACCTCTCTCGGAATGCATCAAGTCCTTTCCTCGAAATGTAACTGAATCGATGTATGTCAAGATCTATCTCAAAATAGTTTGGACCCTGCTCGGAGCCACAAGATTACATGAGCTAACAAACACAAAGTAGTGCCAAGAGCGAATTGACAAACTCATAAAATAGTAGCGATCTATCTCAAAATAGTTTGGGCCCTGCTCGGAGCCACAAGATTACATGCGCTTACAAACACATAGTAGTGCCAAGAGCGAATTAACGAACTTATAATATAGTAGCGATCTATCTCAAAATAGTTTGGGCCCTGCTCGGAGCTACAAGATTACATGAGCAAATAAACACAAAGTAGTACCAAGAGCGAATTGACAAACTCGTAATATAGTAGCAATACACAAATATATCATGGTTCATTTTTATGTTCTATGCGCAATTCCACATTTTGCATAAAAGTACCATGATTAAAAGCCCCGACATCGGGTTAAAAATAGGCAGTCAGCTGTGTCAGACTACTGACTCGGCTAACCTCTACAAAAAAGAAATACATAAAAATCGATGTACCTGGCTCAGACTCGCTCCTAGTCTTAGGGCTAGCACCCACCCAGGTTTGAGTGGCTAGGGCTGTCCGAGCTCAAAGTCACTGATTTTTAGAACACTGATGAATAATCAAAGATGCACAGAGAATTTACCCTATAAAAAGCATGTTGAGGGCGCGAAAGCACTGGCTTTTCATTATAAGCATGCAGAAGCTTCCTTTCTGTAGCACTCAGATGGAGATCCTCTGGATTGACCACCCTTGCCATTATTTTTAATCTCTCTCTGAATGGAACCACGGATTCTGATGCAAACCCTTTAACCTTTTCTACTTCATCATCAATCATTTTCTGCATAATTAGCACGTTTAAGCATTAACAAATAGGGTTTTGTCGGGGAATACACGATAAGGTTTTTGATAGTGTTCAGGGAATGCACACCATAATGGGAGTAGCCAAACTAAACCCTAACAGATAATAGGATGTAAATGTAAAATCACAAGGGCACACAAACAAATATGCAAATGATATTAAACAGAATATCAGGATGTCCGACATATTACCTGATATATTGGTAATGAAATATTACCAGATATATCGGTAATTGCTTGGGTCTTATCTAGAAGAATGAACAAGATAACATTAAAACTACCTATTTCATGGAAATAACAAGTACAGAACAGCTAAGGACATTACACAGCTTGAGTGGGAGCTTTATTTTAATCATAATCCATTTTATTGTTAGTTTTTTAAATGTCTCCAGAATCCAAGTTCTGTTATATGTGAGGTTGAATATGTTTATGCGTGATGACATACTAGTTTCTTTTTCTCTGCAATCAGTATGTATTGAATATACCGGATTGATAGACTTATATTGGCTAGGTATAATACATTGTTTATAGGGTTTTGCAAAACAAATGGGTGGGAGAACTGCAAAATGCTACAAATTGAGTAAACAGTGGTGTAAAGTGCACCTTAAGAAATAAAGGCCAGGGTAGCCTACTATAAAGGGCCGTAACCCGGTGCTGGTCCAGTCTACGCAGGGTCCCGGGAGGGTGAGATGGAAACGGTCCTAACCTATGGCTTTCTTATGCACAAAGTGGCCGCTCCCAGGACAGAACCTGTGCTCTTGTGCTGGTTACCGGAGCCTTTTACCATCACACCAAGTAACGGCCCCTTGCACTGGTTAGGAGGGTAGCCTACTATCTTGCAGCCAAATTTAACTCCTCCAAACCTATACTTGTTTTCATGGCTTCTAACAGAATTCCAACTCTGACTAATAAGAGTCAAAACTCAAATTCAATTATTATATAAACTACCACCTATTTCATGATCTATATTCTTCTTTCCATTGAAAAAGGGCAATAACAACAAAATAGATTCCTCCAAGCAACCCAAGTAATTACAAGGTCATAAATTTAATCAATTAAGTCCAAATTGATGTGGAACCCATTCACCTTTTGAGTGTTAAAAACAGCAGCTGCACTGCATACCTCAGCTCAGGGCCACAATGGAAAATAGAGAAACCTATGTACTTTTCAAAGAACTTACAATTCCCACCATAAAACCTGAAAGTAAACCTCAATCAACGTGGTTGATATGTAAAATCGGCACCGCAACACTAGATGGTTTATGCTTTTGCTTTAGTCCTATTCATTGGTATTGGCCAATGAATGCCAAGTGAATGTGAAGCATCAATTTCAGGGCTCTATGTATTATGAATCAAGTCATATTGTGCCATTTACATAGCATCCATACTCTCTTGTTTGCTAATGATGAGAATTATGGAATCCACCTGTCTTTTCTAGAAAGTACGGGTCAAGTGCTACTCAAATCCAGGTTTTTTTCCTTTGATAAGTCAAGATCCAGGAATTGTAAACCAAAATACCAAATTGCCTTTGAGCATTAACTGGAAGGAAACAAGAACTGAGCTCTACTCTCTAGCATGCTACACGACTATAGTGATACAAAACATCTTATAAATCAAATATTTTAAGGACAACACTTTCTCAAGGTTTATCACCGAAATTCTATTCATGGGAAAATGTGGACAAAAAATTTGTCAAATAACTTGATTGTGAAGTTTAAAGTTTCGGAATATAGTGGCCAACTTCTGCTGTACATGGAAATCATAACAATTATATGTTTTCCCAATTAAATATGATAGCCAAAGGAAGCTAGTCCAATGTCCATTTTCGCTAGACTTCAGATCTGTATTTTATATCTACTGGAATTACCTTGATGCTCTCCTGACAATGGGCAGAAATCTCTTTCTCAAGGTTCTCTGAAAGTTTAAAATATAGTACAAGGCTCATCCCTTCACCATCAGTATCACCAACAAACATAGCAGCAGGATAAGTAGGTAGCTGCCACCAAGCCACAATGAGCTCATTAGACATATGATCTCAGCTTTCGACTTACCAATAAGATGACAAAGTTTCTAATGCAATCGCCAGCTATTTCAAATAAAAAAGTGCTAGCCTTAACATCTATAATCTGTATTTGAATTTATCAAGAAATACAAGATGTGGAAATAATGCTACCTGAATGTTAACAATCAATAGAGGTGGTATTTTCTCTTGTGATTTCATGGATGGAAGGTCTAGATACTGAGCAATATGATTAACCTTTCTAGGACAAACAAATAGGTCAACACCAATTGCGATAAAGGGAGTGTAGTTCGCTGCAGGAGACTTCTTCTTATCCCTGCATATCCCATATAAATGGTTCAGAGCACACAACTTTGCAATAAAAATCATTAAAAAGGAAAATAATATGATAGAGATCAAATCAAGGATTCAAATTATTAATTCAAGGATTGCTTTACCTAATCAAAATAATTCATCCTAATCAAAGTAATTCACATACATGTCATCCATATTATATCTTTTTCATGTCTAGGATAACTCAAGCTTCCTTCCCTAGATTGCGAACATGAAAGTTATAATATCTACAACATACCTGAAGTAGTTTTCACCACGGAGCTTAAACACAGAAGGTTCAAGAGCAGACCAGCAACCTTGCATTGGCTTCTCCCCTAAAGTGCATGGAACCTGAAGTCCTGCTCTGGGTCGATAGAGAAACCTCTTTGAAGTGCCTGAATAAATTCCATGAATCTATATTAGAAAGTAAAAATGATTAGATAACAATAAAATTTTGCAAGGCCATGCCGGTGGGTTTATTCCACACCAGCTTCATGGGCACCAGAATATGTTAACCCAAATGCGCCTTCATGAATTTTTAGGAAACTTTTTGCGTAATTTTTGTGCAAACTTCATTCGTTAATCATTGGTGAAGTAAGGATAATCAGTATGTTTGGAACCTGACAATCACAAAATCCAAGCAATGTAAAACAACAAAAAAGGAAAATTACCCTTACAGATTTCAGTGTTCTCACAACCATCATAGGAACATCGCTTCAAAGAGAGCCTGATAACTGCTGCCTTTTTTCTTTGAGATGGGGGACCAGGGCTGAGTGGTTGAGTTTTGTCATTAAAACTGAGAGTTGGAACCAATCTAGGCAAGCAAGATTTTGCCATTTGTTTCAAGGACAGATCATGGTTTTTCTCTTCTGGAGAAGTGAATGCATCTTCCCTCCGACCATTGGAACTCCCGTAAGGGTCATCCAATGGTTTTTTCCTTTTGTGACCAACTTCAGACCCAAGAGCTCTAGGTTTGGTTTCATCCGACTTTGTTCCACTGGAAAACCCATAACCTTGAGCACTCCTAACTCCAAAGGCATCTGCTTCTTTTTTGGGTTCGCCTTTATTTAAAAATCTCTCAGCTTTACCTCCATCTATTTTCAAATAACGCTCAACAGTCAATGACACTGGTGTGCTATCGCAAATATCTTCAATCTTACAAATGGCATCCATAAAACATGACGCACCAGAAGAAGCATTATTAAGTGCATGGCCAGTGGAAGGGAAGAAATCTGCAGCAATTAAAGAAAATCAGAACAACAAAGCATAAAAGACAAAAGATTCTAATTCTCGTAGTTTAAGGCTGATATTGTTATAGAAAGCACAAAAAATTCTGTTACTCGTATAATTTTTATAGCGGGAAACAGGGGGAATTGACAGGTTTATTACCTCCATGCACACTGCTGAAATCATCATCAGAGTCGGATTCTAAAAAACTGACAGAGTCAAACCATGCTTCCTCTTGGCATATTCCTATAAACCGATAATGATCCAAAGTTAACTTCTACAAGATGCCCTTTTGCAACCTATTGAATTTAAAATGAGGAAAAGCATTTGCTGTAATTTCGAATCCCAAATGATCTCTGTTGGTACTTTGACATGTTGATTGAGTGGCAGTTAACAGAAAATCTTCATTTGAAAACATATTAAATGCAGAAATATTTGAAAACATTAGCGAAGAGGAAAAGAGCCAAAAACCTCTGACCAAAGCAAAAGTTCTGCTAAATGCATATCTCGCAAATAGGAAAAAAGAAATAACAAGTTATTAGTGCATGTCTCCAATGCAAATGGCGAAAACGAATATATCCTGCATGCAGATTTGCATATCTATGGATCTAAGCCTTACAGAAGGATAGAAGGAAACCAGACTTCCAAACAAGGGGTGCTTCCAGTTAATGATGGTTTTGCTTCATAAATATGCATAAGCAGTTTCACACATACCAGGTGCAACAGGTTCATTCGACATTTAAGCTTTGGGATGATTCAGTTTGAAATTCAAGTTTCAGCTGAGCTCTTTTCTTCTTTTTGATAGGTCTAGAGAGTACTAAAAAAGGGCCGTAACCTGGTGCTGGTCCCGCCTACAGGGTCTCAAGAAGGGTGAGCTGGAAACGGTCCTAACCTTTGGCTTTTTATGCACAAAGTGGCCACTATCGGGACTCGAACCAGCGCTCTTGCACTGCCTACCCGAGCCTTTTACCGTCACACCAAGTGATGGCCCCTAGGTCTAGAGAGTACTAACACAATGAAAAGGCATATATGCTAGGCCAACACTACCCCAAGGATGAGGTCCAGGGATCAGGTGGTGTGGCCAGGAACAGGCATTTCACACCACTATAATCTCTCGTAAGCATTAACTAACTATGATTAAGACACACCAAATGCTTTTCCACTCAGTAACAGCTTTGTAGCAATAACAGCAAACACAAGTTATAGTTTTCTTTGGCACATCAGTCTTGGGAATATGGATATGAGGCTGCAATACATAAATGAAAACTCCCTCACTGAAGAGGGGGTAGCAGGGTAACACATGGTGTAGAGCACCCAGTCTGTGGGATGCTATAATATTCTTCTCCGGAAAACTCACAATGTATATCGTTCCTTACAATAGAAGTCTATTATTCCCTCAAAAAATTGCATAAATGTAAACCTAGCAATTCAAAACAAGAAGTATCGCATAAATCACATATTTTACAAGTTGAAGTGTTTTGAGGCATGTTCCAGGCATACCATCTAATGCTTGAAATTTTTGCTCATGACCATTCCAAAGCCAGGGAAAACAGAAATGATCCCACCCTCAACAATTTACAAACTTAAAGAAATGAACTAAACAAAAAGCAAATTACCATTTGTGTCAAACTGACTACAATGCCATTGCAGCTGAGTTAGATGGAATGTCCCACGTGCATTTGCGCCCTTCTCAAAATCCATGTGAACAAATTCACTAATAGCAAAATCTGCTATGGAATTTGTAGCCTCACTAGTACATGTTTTAGGAGCATCAGAAACTGTAGAAGAATTTTTTGTCCGACGACGCCTACCGGACCTAAGTAAGAACTTCTTTCGAGATCTCGTTTTTCTTTGAGCTGTTGACACACAGCCCCCCATTATGAAGATGTAGTTAAATTCCAAAAGCAAGGGAGCTTGTCTTCATGGAAGAAATCAGTCCCTTAACAACGTTGGGCCACTATGGACAAACAAAACAGCAACCTGCAATACATTTCTCAGCATCAAATGAATACTATGTTTTATTAGGTAATTAGTAGTGGTCAGAAAATAGTGGATTCAGGCTCAACCTTACCTGAGCCACTGGACTAGCCGGGTGCCAGGTCCACGTGACTAATCCCAAAAAAGGAGGGAGTCGGTTCCTACCCAGCAGCAGCTTATGTATTTTGTATCTGAGACTCAGTCGAGTCAAGCGGTCTGACTCGTCTGAGTCTGCCCTGATTCGGTCTTGCGACCCTAGTGATTCAGATCCCAGGCTCAGGTTTTTAAATGCTGGTTATTAGCATCACATGAATATTTCAGGAAAGGACACATTTTCTATGAGTCCATGTAGACGAGTCACCTCTTAAACATCCAATTTTGAGATGGAATTTTGGACTTAATTTTTAAGGACATGTAATCTCTAACATGGAGATCATGAATACCAAAAAAATAAATAAAACTTGAAAATTAGAAATAATAATTCTATTAAGAAAACTTTTAGACTGTTAATTTCAATTGTTTTTAGATGGACCACCTATTTGCATCCATCTTTAAGACAGATGCTTTATACCGTGGGACAGCATATTGTATAAATGTGACCCAGCCAGCATGAAACAATATTCGTTCAGGAAATGCTAAATTCGAAAAGAAAGAGGAAGGACTACAACTTGTACGAAATGATAGGCTAACTAATGCCAGAAAAAGTGCGTCATAATAATACACATTTAAATTAGTCCTTGCAATCCAAGGACCCAAGCGTGTATAAGCTCATCATGGCATGATGTAAAGAGACTCGCATGGATTACATGAGGGCAGTGTTTAAAACATCAGGGACTTGGCTTGGCACTCGCCCGAGTCGGCTCGCGTGGGCAACCTGGTGAGCCTGGAGCAAAACCTCAGGGCTCAAATTGAGTCTTCCCCCGAACCCTAATTTCTTTGTTTAAAAATGACCCACTCAACCTATAATAAGTGACTCAGGCTTGAGACCTTGGTGAATCCCAGCCCGAGCCTGTGTTGTTAAACAATGCACGAGGGCATTGGTTTTGCTATTGCCTACTGAGTTCATATTCAAAAGATAGCCATTAGGCACATTTACAGTCAGTATGATGAAGTGGTAGTTAGGAAAAGCCTGAATTACGAAAACCATAAAAACAGCTCATAAAACAGGCTTAATGGAAGGCATTATGTAGCTAGAGGATGGTAAGAGAAATGGCCAAAAGAGAATTTGATCAATCAAATTACCTGAGAATTGTGCTCCTGCCCCAATAACCCAGTCGAATCGACGGAGAAATGATTCAGCACGATGCCGAAGAGCACAAGAGGAGAAATCATACATTGATTTGTAAGAAAAATAGGCCCCATATACTGCATCAACAATTTAACTGATCCAGTTCTTTTGCATTGGACTTGATAATTAACCTACAAATAGATGAAAAGGCAAAAAGACAATTGGTAACAATCTAATATGCACACAAAATCCCCGTTTCGAGGAACCTTTCAAAGAACAGAGTAGATTAAATGAAAAAAGAAAAAAAAGAGAGGCTAATATGCAAATTGATCATTGCAGAACTCAATAAATAGGATGAAATTTAAATGAGAATGCCACGTGCTAGGATAAAATTTAAATGAGAACTCCATGTGCTAGGATCAAATTTAAATGAGAAGTCCACAAATAAATTTAAATGTAAGCCAGAGCAGATATATATAGAGAGAGAGAGAGTTAAATGAGAAGTCCACAAATAAAAATGTAAGCCAGACCAGAGAGAGAGAGAAAGAGAGATTTTCCACATAATTGAAACTGAAAAAAGGGAGAAAACTACAAAATCCACAAATATAATGCTGATAAATACACAAAAGCCAAAAAACCAACTTCATAATCCTATTAACAAGCAAAAATGGAAACTTTCAACTGTACAATGCAAATCCTAAATTCAAGAGAAGAAACCAAAAAGGAAACACCCCATCGAAATACAAAATTCACCAACGCAATGCTAATCATAACAAAAATCAAATCCAAAAACAGAGAACAGAAGAATTAAACACTCATTTGTGAAAAAGCCAATCAAAAAGAAAAAAAAAAACAAAAAAGGTGGACTCAAGCAATATTAGATCAATCATAACCAAAAGCAGCACGAAAAATAATAAATTCAGCTTTACAAATCAGATTACAAACCAAAATGCAATGAAGAGAGAGAGAGAGACTGTTACAAAAGGAAGAGAGAAGGCAAGAAAACGGGAAGGCTAAGAGAGAGAATCACGACAGATGCATGAATGCACAAAGACGAACAATTTTTAGAGGGAGAAAGTCATCAAGACTAAAGAAAAAGCATAAATTCCTTTTAATTAAAGAGAGTTAGAGAGAGAGAGAGAGACGGGAGGACGTTTCCTTGAGCCCTGAAGGAAAAGAATACGTGAGAAAGAGAGAGAAATAAACCTGCTCGGCTCGTCGAGAATGAAGGCCTTAGCTTAGAGAGAGAAACTTGCCTGTACGTCGAGATTTAGAGAGAAAGAGGTGGCGAGTTAGAAATGCAAGCAGTTAGAGAGAGAAACAAGACTGGACGTCGAATTTTAGAGAGAGAAAGGTGGTGAATGGGAAATGGAAGCAGAATCGAGGGAGGGAAGGAAGAGGCTCTCTCTCTCTCTAAAACTCGTACCTTCCACAAAACCCAGCTTCCCTCTGCAAACCTTTTAGAGAGAGAAAGTACCAAGGCGAGGGAGGGAAGGGAGAAGCTCTATCTCTCTCGTCCCGCGGCCTCCCCCTCCAATCCTTTTAGAGAGAGAAAGTAGAGAGAGAAAATGCACGAGGGAGGGTGATGGGCTGAACCTCTTTTATTTGTTTATTTACTCATATATTATTAATAAAATATCTGACTTTTATTATTACGATAAAATGAAACAGAGAAGAACTGCCCCTGCCTCTGCCTCGGAAATGGAAGAAAAGGCTTTTTCCATTTTTATATATTTACACAGTAGAGAGAGGAGAGAGAAAGAGAGAAGGTGGTGTTTCTTCTGCCATGGCGACGCGTCGCGGTTGGATGACAGCAGCTTACACGATGACATCTTCCCTGTTCCTCTTTCTCTCTCTATATTTTCTCTCTCTCTCTCTCTAGAATCGACCTCTCCATGTCTCTATCTCTCTCTAAATTTGACCTCTAAAACAACGCATGTCTCTCTCTCTCTTCTCCGCCCCCTACGGAAGAGCATCGATGTGCACAAGCAACTCGCTTCCCCATCAACTTCCGACTTACCTAATTTGCCCTTATTATTTACCAAATTTCTCATTTTCCACATCAACTTCCGTAATTTGCGCTTATCATTTACTAATGGAGAAAAAACTTTTACCAATCAAAATAAGTCGGGTCGATTCCGGGTCCAACCGTACCCAAAGAATGATTTGGGACCCGTGCCCGAATTCCCCTGGACCTGGACCAAAAATATACTGGATCTGGATGCAATCGGATTCAAGCCAAAAATTTAAAATATCTATGTATTTAACTATATTTAATATGTTAAGACCCAAAAAATATTATCGGACCCGAACTCAAATAGTGCTTGGGATCCAAGATTTGGGCCCAAACCTGACCCACGGGGTCCAATTTTTGAACCCATATCCTATCTAAGTCTACCCCTCGGGTATTAGGTAGGGTCTGGGTCCATTGCCACCCCAAAAAATAAGTAAATCTTCACCTCATAACTCATAAAAAATTACAATTCAAGTATCGGAAACGTTTTACATCGATCATCTTGGCTAGAACATTATGGTTGTGATAAAAAATTAGGATTTCAAGCTCTAAAATAGCATACGTTGTAATAAATTATCTATATTGTTTCTTCTTTTTTTTTTTTCTTGTTTTGATAGAAATTCCACTATTAGCTTAAACTAAAAAGAGATTATAGATTTTAGAGACAATAGTCCCAGTATGGAGCGAACCCCCTTTGATAGACAAATTTATCTAGACCGTTTCTTTCACCCTAAAAATAAGTGTTTAGTTCCACAGGATTTGGACCATTATTTGGGTTTCAAAATTTTTTATTGCTGTTGAAAATTGATTTTAGAACCATCCTGGAAGTTTTTGAAGCCAAAAGTGCAACGATTTGAGGTGAGGCTTTACTTTGTTTTCTTAATGCCTAAATTTTTCAAAGGGTGAGGTTTGTATAAGGTGCCCAATGGCGGCTTTGTACTATACAATTAAGATGTATCTTTAAATTTTTAAGGTGCTCAATGCCCACCTTGTACTGCACAATTAAGTTGCATCTTTAAATTTTGTTGGAAGATGTAGTTTCTAAATAGAAACCTCGAGATAGATTGAAATTATGTATTCAACTCAATTAGGAAATTTAAAATTCTAAGAACAATGCAAATTGAGTTAATCTAAAAACACTTGAAAATCTTGAAAAATAGACGGTTTAGAAAACTTCTTACAAAATACACTAATTTTAAGACTTTAAAATCGTTTTTTTATACTATATAACTCGAGGTTGATATGATCAATTAGAAAAATTTCCAAATTTAAAACACTATTTTCTACTGGATTTTTGAGGTGCACCCTGCTTCTACAGTGTAATGTTGCAACCTTTCATATGAAATTAATTATTTAGCAGTCTACCTATATGCAACTATTCTAACATAAGATCATATAGTTTTTTTATGGGTATTTTAAAATTGGATCAACAGAAACAGCTAAGGTGTTAAATTGTTCATCTCTTATAGATAATTAATAAATTTCGCCATTAATATTAATAGAATTTTCCATGGGACCCACCTTCTTAATCTGTTGATGAGATCAGTCTTTAAAGGCTCAATTTGGATGCTTCTTTCTCCTGTTTATAGCATAAAGTAAAAGAATAGGTGACTTTTTTTTTCAAGCAAGGGTATAACAAGACTAGTTATTTTTTTGTACAAAAGGATCACAATTGCCTTTTTTTTTGTATGTTAGACATGAAATCAGGCCATATTAGAGGGTGTATCATTGACTATGCTTAAACATGAGAAAATTCTACTCAAGCTTCATGCACATAATTGACACATCCATTATCAGATTTGAAATCTGACTGGTTGAGGTTCTTGTAACATTATGAGTATTGCCCCAATCAATTTGACAAAGAATTTCGGTGGGTTCATTAGCTTTTAGGAATTAGGGATTGTTGGTATTTGAGAGAAGGAGAAGCCTACTAATTTTGGTAATTACTTGTTCCTCCATAGGGAACTCTGCAGGAGCATTGCACTGTTAAATTTGGCAGAGAATTCTACTTTGTTAGAGAATTATGAGCTTTTAAGAATGGAAAAGTTTCCTCCGAGTCAGTGGGTGCAAGAGCCCGCTGAACCTTGGATGTCTATTTAGATGGACATTGTGTAAAGCGCACCTGATCAAAAATATATAGACTGTAAAAAAAAAAAATCCCCAAAAAAACACATTTTAAAATATAAAAAGTTGTCTTTTTTCATTCATATTTGGCTCGAACGACTCATAGAAACCTCGTCTTTTAAGAATCAGGTTACTTAAAAGTATCTTACAAAACAAAGATGATACTGTTAACTTTGGTGAAAATAAAGTAGACAAACTGAATTCCTTTTCCTTTTTATACTGAAGAACATTTGAATGGTGCCCCATCCCATCAATGGAGAATATTAGGTGAGTACATTAGTTCTAAAGATCAAGGTCTATAGGTCTCTGGCAAGAGCTCTGTTCTTCTTGTAAAAGCAACTTTCATTGTACTTGTGAATCCTTGTCATAAGTTATTTTGTTCTTCATGAATCTTTTTTTCTCACCAAGTTCATGAAGGGTTTATGCAGGTATGCCACATGTTATATTAATGGCACGATTTGGTTCATATGTAATTTTTTTTATGAAAATATACTCACATGAAAGGACACTCCCATGCTATAAGGTATGAACGTTTTTTCACGGTCATTTTTATAGTAAACGTTTATGTGATGGATTAATTGGTGTTGAAAACTTTTTATACCTAATCACATTAGGGAGTTCTAACATTAGAAAACCTTCAACTTGATCATCTCGACCTTGATCATTATTTGTATGGAAAAAAAAAAAAATTTAAGTTTTAAAAATAATGTATGTTTTAATATATTATTTTGACCAACCATTCCACCATAAAAAAAAAAAAAGTGTTTATGGCATGTGAGGTCCATATTATTTATAAAATTTAAATTTTATAATTATTGTTAAAAATTGATTTTCGAACCATGATGAAGATTTCCAACGTCTAAGTCATTTTCAAAATGATGATTTGAAGTCAGACTTTCCTATCGAAACTGCGGTCTTTAGAAACAGCTAATGACAAACATCTAAAGTGAACTTGAAAGTCGTGTGGCCAATGGGGGGTTTAGGACCAAAACCCACATTTCTAATTAATAAGGGCACAATAGCCATTTTATATGAATGGTGATACATACGTACTATGATGGTCACATCAATTGATTGCGTGTTCCTAACATTTAAATATAGTTTTAAATAACTGAAAGCCTTATGTGCTCCGTGGGAGCAAAATGTAGATTTGATCCGTCAGGTAAAACCTTAGCAATAAATAGATTTAGGACCCATGACTAGATGTCATCTACATAGCCTGGTCAACAAAGGCGTCAAAAAATAGGAAATTTTGGACAGGTATAATAATGGCGGTGTCATATAAAATCATACCTTTGGATTGACCTTGAATTGTCCAAAATTTAAGGGGTATGGTTTGTATAGAGTCGAGCCTCTAAGCAATTAGAATAGAGTGCACCATCAATTAGTGTCCAAAAATGTGGTTTCAATACCCAAAATTTTTGTGGTATTTAAAAATATATTTTATTTTTAGTTATAAAATTTAAAATTTTTTAAAAAATATAGATCGAACAGATCTATAAAAGCTTGAAAAACTAATAAATTGACGGTTAAAAAATACATACAATATGCACTATTTTTAAAACTTGAAATCTATTTTTTTCTTTTGTACATCTTGAGATTGAGATTTTTAATTTGAAGGTATTTAGGCATCAAAACAACCTCTTCTGTGAAATTTTTGATGGGCGCATTGAATGTTTAGAGAGCATCATACATATATAAAAATTTTCCACTTTTTTTAGATCTCTCTGTACAAGAACTAAAAATTCTCTTTCCATCACTCGTATGGTCATTCGAAGTGGATCGGAAATTCAAATTGAGAAATTCTCCTTGGTGGTAGCTTTACCTCACAGAGCAATTGTACAATTTACTTTTAAAAGAAAGACTCTTTAAATAAAATAATATTTTTATTTATAATTTAAGCATTATAGTAAACTCTTGCGGGAATACATTATACAATTGTTACCTCGAGAAAAAGACATACCTGATAGGATCATCAAAAAAATCTCAAAATAACTTCAAACTACTTTTGAAAAAGAAAACAAAATGTTGAGTTCTTAAGCACTAACATCAGGAGTTCTGTTCAATTTTTTGGAATTTTTTTTTGCGGCTTTTATAAATATAAAATTTTATTATTCTTGAGGTTGGTTGTTAGGAATATATATATATATAAATAAATAAATAAATAAATAAAAAATAAGAAGAAGAAGAACTTCAAATGGTCCTTCATAGAAATACTCTTAGATAGTGTACTACCTGTAGGATTGACCTTAAAATATGCTACCAAGGGAGTATATAATCTTTGATATAATTTCCTATATATTGACAGAATCGGTATGGGATGACTGATTCTCAAATCGTACCAGACGATTCCATGCCCCGACTTTTTTTAAATCAGTACCGGAAGGGATATCTTTTGGCTTACAATTAAGATGGGCTTAAGTGAGGGCATTATGATAAAATGTCGTGTGCTTGGTTAGGCAATGTGTTAGGAAAGAGGTCAGCAGATCTCTAAATCCGCACCCCACACGATCCTCTCCTTCATTTCTCTACAACTTAAATTCATCTCCCTTTTTTACAAGTCTCGATATCTCTCTTTCACTCTCTAAATTTTAAATTCATCTCCCCTTCTTACAAGTCTCAATATCTCTCTTTCTCTCTCCAAATTTTAAATTCATCTCCCCTTCTTACAAGTCTCACAGTATCTCTCTTTCTCTCTCTATCTCTCTTTCTCTCTCTAAAGTTTAATGTATTAAAG